GGAACAGGACATTGAAGTAGGCCAAATATGTACCTAAAGATACCTGAAATTGAAGTGCTAATTATAAAAATCCACCTTTCCATTCCGACAAAACATGCGTTGTTTAGGTTTGTCTATTGTACCGATCAGGACAAAATTTTCCGAAATTGATTCTAAATTGAACAGGATCCACCGTATTAAATTTTAAAGCGATCGGACACAAAATGTGTCTCTTATGCGACTTCGGTATATATATGTATATCTCAACCGATTTCACTCAAATTTTGCAGATGTGCTTTTATGTGTGCCTCAAAAAAACTGTTGTTGTCTCAAAAACCTGTCATTGGGCCCATAGTGCAAAGATATTCTGAATAGTATGCAGGTAATAATAATATAATATTGTGGTTCATATTTAAAATTAACTTTGCTATGGTGGAGGTTATGTCATCATTTGACGTCCCTGTTCGCAATGTCGCCATATATGCGGGTTTATGGTTTATTAAATATATTTGCCATGAATTTGTAATTTTTACCCAAATAATATCTATGAAAATTTTATACATTTTCGACTTGCATTTTCATCCTTTATATATATTTCCCAGGTACTTGAGGAAATATTTTGGCAAACATCTAAAGAGTTTTTTCTCCAGAATTAATTAACCTTTTACAAAGTACGTGTATTTTTGAATCTTATACTCAATTTTGTTTAATTAAACACTAAATGCTTATCAATTTAATACAATATTTAATATTTTATAAATTATAATTTATTTCAACCAAATATTAAAATTCGCTCAGTTTGATTATTAGATTTACAGTAGGAAATATTATTTTCCCAAATTCAATAGTATATGTTGCGCTATTAAATTAAATTTTTTTTAAAATCAAGTAAATATATAAAAATTAGTTCAAAAAATTACCACAATGTTCAAATGTGCACACACATACGCCAATGCAATAATATATTTATATATATGAACATTTGGTTGTAGAGATGTCTAATGTACGATTACCAGCATGCGATTGTGATTTAATTAGTATCACATATATACCGTCCATTCAACTTGTTTTGGGTGATTTTTTGGATGATACACCCGCAACATTTTCCACCAGGAGTCCAATATGTGTGTGAGTGTTAGTGTTGCTGTTGTCTGTATCCACCATTCATTAGTGTGCTTAACGATCATTGATAACGCTGTTAATAACAATTGAGATGGTCTGATAAAAATTAAACAGATAACTTACTGTGTACAATCATGTCTACATTCACACATACATATGTGTGTGTTACTACTATACAGTCAAACGACGCCAGTTCCGATATGTGTGTTCTATAAAGTATCGAAAAGAAACCCTTTTCTCTCCCCGTTGCCAAAATCCCGTTAAATAAACCAACAACAACATTAATACCAAAATAAACAAAATACATAAAATAAAATAAAAAACAACAACACAGTTTTAGAGAAAGTACATTGTTCTATGGACTTTGTGCACTCCTCACACACACACATGTACCACCAAATTCTTTTAGCCCCCTCCTGGTTAGTTCGTGGCATTTGGGTGTTTATGATGGCCATGTCCACGTTATTACTGGGCGATGGTGGGTCTCTGAAGATTGAAATGCCAGCGGCTGTAATGGCGCTTACGTATGAATGCGAGTGAGAAATGGAAGTATGGCACAAACAAACAAAAAAATGTTCGGTGTGTTCCTCTCGCCCGCCACGTTTGGTGTTTTTCATTCAATACCCATTTCGCTGTACATGCCATTCGGCAAACCAGCAAACGAGCGTCTTAATTAAAAGAGAGGGAAACATAATGAAGTCATGGCATGCATTTAAAGAGCGGTTTTACGTCGCCAAACACATACCAACACTCATACTCACACATCTGCACGCAAACATGACTTTTCATTCATCGTCAACCACAGAGCCAAACACGCACGCACGCACACACACACACACATCAACGACAAAACAAACAGCGAACGTGTGAAGATTTTTGCCGGAAACGGAATGTTTGTGTGCCTCAACATCAAAACTACGTTGAACAAACGTTGCATATTTTTAGGGTGCGCGCGTAAAAGTTCAACTACTCGTTATTAGTAATTGTGGCAAAACCGAAATCAAAAACAAAAGCGAACTCAGTAATGCCCTACACCAAGTGGATTTTTCACATTCCAGTTGTTGGTGTTGTTATCGTTGTATTTTTCATTTATAAAATTGTGTATATTTGTATACTACACCAAATGGATTTTCCACATTCGAATTGTTGGTGTTGTTATCGTTGTATTTTTCATTTATAAAATTGTGTATATTTGTATACCACACATTATGCATCTGTTTGCAGCAAAGTCAAAAGTGCTCCCTGTTATATTCAAAGTTTCGTGAAATTCGAATTGTGTCGACCGCCTAGTGGTGTGATATTCCATTTTGGATTCGAATGAATGAACATTTTGAAAAATAATAAAATCAAATGAAAAATGAATACAAATTTGAATAATGGATAGAAACGTTAGAGCTGATATCATAATGTCCCGAATGCACACGACAGACATACCAGTGTAGATATCAAATTGAAATATAATATCACTGATTGAAATAGTTTATGAATGTGGATTTATCAAAATTGTTTTATTTGGTTCAATATTTTAAAACTCTTTAAACAACCAATCACATTTCCTAGAAATCTGTTGATTTTTGTTAAGAAGAGGAATGTACTACATTATTTAAATCATAATTAAAATCGTTACAATTAGTCACTAATTAGTCTTTTAGTGTATAAAGTAGTTAATTTTATGTTACCGGATATTTGGCAAGTAAGCTCATTTCATTTTTATTTATTTATTTTTTTTTATAATTTACTACTTAGTATTATGGTAACATTGCTAACAATTTTCATTGGTCATGGAGTTTTCAGCATTATTTGGTGAAATAAAATAACAAAAATTAACATATCCTCTTGAATCACACAATACATCATGATTTTAGTCTGTTTATATACCGTCGAATTCGGGTAAGCGAATGCCGGTATATAGAAAAAATAGGTTAATTAAAACTAAAATTTAAAAATTTACATTTTGAATGAATTTCCAAACACTTTATTTCGCTTTAATAGTAGCAAAAACACAAATATATATCCAAATCCAAAAATATGTGCAATCCAAACCCTTAAATTATTATGCACAATTTTCTAATCGTACAAGCAAAATTTCCACACAAAAATTAAGTTCTTACTCAATTCATTTCATTACTTATTCATTTTACTTTTTTTCAGATATTGATTAAAACTTCGTTTAAGCGCAACGAGTTTCGCTTTTCCGAAATCCTTTTAACTCAAATTAAGCGTTTTCGCTTAAACGAATTCGACTGTTCATATAATATGTCTAATGTAAAGTGTAACGGGGAATCTGTGTCCCCAGTTGTTATCGGTTTAGATAATCCCAACAATACAAATGTATATACAGAAGTATTCATTTAATAATGCGCAATACCTTAAAAAGACGTTAACGTGATTTGCAAATATCTTCATATATCGCATTTTTTCTGTTATGCCTTGTTTCCCTGGCCCGCAGAAATAATATCAATTGGGATTGTTAAAAGAGAAAGCAAGGACGAATATTAATAAAACCCGCAGTATTACTGTTAAGGGTATCACCAAACAACACTCACTCAGCACTCGCACATATCAGCCGCGACTGCAATTCGAGGGTGTTGCCACGAGGCTGTCAGAATGTCGATTCGCCAGTGTAAACAACAAAACACACTCACTGTTGGCAAAAGTGTCATGTGAAAATAAATGCGAAATGTAAAATGCCTTCAGACTCGAAGTCATAGCTGGTGCTGGCATGCCATCATAAAATACAAATGGAAATGGAGAACATCATCCAGTCAACCAGCCAGGCAGCCCACCATCCAGCCCACACAGGCTTATGACATACCTTCGAGCGCCTTCGAAAATAAAATAAAAAAAAGTCGCGGCATATTTCGATTTTGTTTTGTCGGATGAACATATTTGGAGGTTTTCCCACGTGTATGTGTGTTTTGATGTCTGTGTATGTTTTATGTTTTTTACAGATACTTTTTTAGCATATACAAATACATAAAACCAATATATATTTTACTACAAACGTGCATATGTATATGGACGACATATTTGTTGTGTGGATGTGTGTATATTATCACATGTGAATGTATACGACCACACCACATTCAGAAATAATCTTTTTTTGGGGGGAACATTATCAAGGGCTTTCTGGCGAATGTTCGAAATTTGTGGTGCTTGCATGCATAGCTGTCACCACACTACGGCAACGAAAAAGGGACATGGATTGTTTTGAAACATCAGCGATTTTGTAACTACTAGTTCTAGGATTTCATGTCGTTGTTTGCCATTTCTTTGTTTTGTAATATTGCTGAACACAAATTGTTTCATAAATACTGTTTAGTATGCACGGTTTTTTCGTCAGTGTCCCCTGGCACAAGAATTTCTAGTTACATGTCTGTCATTCTTTCAAATAATACTTAAAAGCAAATTTGTAAACACATGGAGTCATTCATCATCATCGCCGTCGTCCGTACATGGGTGGATGGTGTATCATTCCGCAAGCGAACCCGAGAACTCTACAGATGGCTGAGCAATACATATATGTACACATATGTAAATAACATATGCATGTACATAGTTTTATTTGGCAAAAGTCATAAGGCAGGAACGTAAAAACTCGCCAGGAAACACACAACTGCAAAAAATTTCAAATTGATTTTTGTTTTTTGCAATTCGAATGATATGGTGAATTCTTTAAAGGATTCAATTCCAATGGTTTTTATTTCATTAGCAAGCTCTGATATGAGGACAGTAATAACATTCGTAATCCATGATGAGAGTGGTGGAAATCATATTTATGCTGAATAGGAAATTGACGATTAGCTCGTGTATTGCGACATCGAAATACAGTTATGAGCATATTTCATTCATTACATATTTTTCGTATCAAAAAAAAAAAAAAAAAAAAAATCACTCACCTTACATCTGGATGGGCATCGAGCATTGCTCTCATTAGAGTTGTCCCTGATCTAGGTACGCCACCAATGAATATTAGGGGCATTTCTCTGTTATATGAATAGACTTTCTGGCTATCGCCTTCGACATATTTCTGTAAAGAGCATAAACACACAGAAAAATATTAAAAATAATAAAACAAAATGTAAAAGTATAGAAAACAATTTAAAAATAAAATTTTAATTTAAAAAAAAAAAAAGGAACAAGCATGTAAAAAGTGTCAATCGGCGTATTCCTTCAGCCTATGGTTTGCGGAGGTCTTCGAAATTACACACAGGTTTTATTATTGGATTTATATGAGGTATGTGTCGCGTGATATTGAATTTATGAATATTGAAAATCTTGACCATTTTTGGGGGACCAGGGGTACCAGAATGAGTGAACGAATGGGTCTCATCTACGGACTTGATCTAGGCTTGCTAAGGAAAATAGGTTGAACAAATTTTGGTTCAAATCGGATAGTCCGTTCTTATGACATTATAAAAGTAATATTTAGCACAATTTTTGACCAAAACTAAGTTGGAAGAAATATTACGATGTGCAAAGTTTGGATGAAATCGGTTACTCCCTTCGAGAGTTATCGTGCGCACCACCTAGCCACACAGACAGATGGACAGACATTTGTTAATCGACTCCAAATTCTCTAAAAGAGATTTGATCCAAAGAAACATGGGGTCTAGAGCCAATATTTCGATGAGGCACATTTTTGCCGTATCAAAGTTAGCCATAAGGCTGGGCGTATAAAAACTCAAATCACTGTTTTCGACATCCAAAAATGTTTGCGGAACCTTAAAAAACTAATTCAACATTTTCAAACGATGAAACAAAATCACTGATTCCCAAATAGCTCTGCAGAGTTAAATGAAATCTGAATCAAATTAATGTTGACTAAAGAGATATTTTTCGAGATTTGTCTTTTTGGCATCTGTGTATTTGGTTCTCTGCTTCTTCCGTCTTGGAATGGACTGAATTTTTTCCCATTGCTATGCTAAGCTATTTTAGCTTTAACATCAAGTGGAAATAATAAAAGTTATTTGACATTAAGGAAACAAAATGGTGTCACCACGGCCAGGTGACCGACTAGCAGCAGTCAGTGCAAAACAAACAAAAAGTCAAGTTAAAGCAAAGAGACGTTAACACAAGCACTTCTGTACCATCTTCCTTCCCGGTCATACTCTATGTGCAACAAATTGAATCTCAGCCAGCCACTAGTCCGCCACATAACGCCCTCTTGATGCTTGTTTTCCTTTGAACCAACTTACATATACACACAACATCGTTAGAAGACTGACTTTCCTTGGAAATCTTTGGTATTTCAGATTTACTTTTTGCCGACTCCCCAAGCACCACTTTATACTCTACTACTTAGGTTGGGTAATGTTTAGTGATGCGACTCAGTCGAATCGAGCATAAAGGTCAGCAAGCAGCAAGGTAACCTTAGATGGATGATCCTCTATGCAGAAGCAATACAACCAACTGGACAACGACGACGCTGTGAACAGCTCGCATCCATACACACACACACACACAACGCAACGTTTAATTTGATGTTTTGTCAAATTGCTTTGTGGGACTCATCCACTGGTAGGACAAGAAGCTCAGTGGACAAATTTAATCAAAAAGTGTCATGTGATGATTTTGCGAAGTTTCTACATCTTCTTGATGCGAATGCGGGTTTCTTTTATATAGGATTACTGTTGAGGCTATTATGTTTGTCAGATCTTTTGCAGTGTTTCTACAACGGAGTGCTATGATGGAAACACAATTAAATGCTAATGTGGATTTGAAATGCAACAAAATTTAAAAATCGAGGGAGGAGTTGATAGACATGGACACACATTGAACTGTATGTACTAATTTAAAGCACCCGTACGGTATATTCAATTTGCATAAAACGTAATAAAGAAAAATAACATTATGTTAAGAAATACATTTTACACATTAATTTGGTACAATTTGGATTTGGGTGAACCGATAGTTTTGATATTACGAATTACCAAATGGTACTACATTTGAATTTTGATTTGTGGAAAATAAGAATTTTGGAAAATAAGATTTCTATTGGATTTATGCTGTTGTAGGTAGTTATGAAAATTTGTACTTATGTGTACATAGGTAGTACAAAATTTGACACAATTTTGATTTAGGTGATCCTATAGAGCTGAAATCCTGAAATGTAAGTACTAAATTTGGTACAATTTGAATTTGGAGGAACGGAAGGTGTTGGAATGTTGAAATCGGAAATGACCTTACTGTCGGAGTTTAGGATTGGGATATGTTGGTAGTTTTGAAAATGTGTACTTATTTGTACACATAAGTACTAAATGGTACTAAATTTTATACAATTTAGATTTAGGTCAACCGATAGACTGGAATACTAAAATTTGGTATTAATATTATTGGATTAGGTGAGTCGATCGGGATGAAAATCTGAAATTGGGAAATATGATATCTGTTGAATTGTTGAAATAAGTAGTTTTGAAAATTTTTATTAAAGCGTACTAAATGTGGATTTTGTTGTAATTAGATGCGAAATAACGTTCCACAAGAGTACAAAAGGTACTAAAATTTTAATTATGGTGATATTGGTGTGTAGGTTGATTAACTATTCTGACATATGCAGGTTTCTGTGAAAACGACATAATATGTTAAGATATGTTTACAAATTTCCTCATTCGTTAACGATGTAGCTGTTATATATATTATGTTTAGCATTTTTACGTACACCGCATTCGAAACCGCCGAAATTGGACGATGTAAGCGATACAACATAAATTTCAGAACTGTCGTAATAATAAAAAAAAAATGTTGGAATGAAAAACAAATAATTATAACAAATTTCTATTAAACTTAATAAATATACAAATGCAATATAAACAAATATTAGGTTAGCATCACTTACCGCATCTCCTCTCATCATGGCCGATGATTGCCCTGATAGACCAGAGCCAGGTACTGCTTCATCTCTGAAGAAACAGATGGGACGTAATTCCGTAAATTTGAATAGAAACATTGTCACAACAACAATTCCAAGCATGACCCACAGGGTGGTCTTCTTATTACGATAAGGCAGGCGCATGATTATCTTGCGTGTAGGTGTGTGAGTGTATGTATGGTAAATGGTTTTGACGTCTACTTCGCCCGCAAACCACAAATCAAAGCTACACTCTTGTTAAAGTGACCGGGCGGCGTTAAGACTACGAGCTACAACTATCAACTATAAATAGGCTTTGTACATTTAGCTATAATTGCAACAACAACAATATCGCTTGAAATGGTAGCAACAACAGTCTCAGCGGTGGCAACAACATGGATCATATGATGACGGCGAAAACGTTGGCAGAATGTTGCAAATCCAATTAATTATCGATGATCTCTTAGTTAATTGAAGAGCTGCGATTAGTTAATGGTGAACCGATTTTGTCAGCATTGATTTTACACGGGTCCAAAACGTGTTACTAATTTTGGTAATCGTAAAATTGCAATGACGAGGGGATATGTTCTTCGACAACAAGCCACAACATGCTACACATATTTTCGTCAATTCTCTCTCGTTTGGGAATGGGAACTTACACTGCTTTGCTATATTACAACTTCAACGAAAATGTTCTGATATCTTCTGAAGGGATTTTAGGAAATGATTATGGCTCACTAATATTCACGGTAATGATGAGATACTGTGTTTCTTACAGTTCCAAAAATGTCGGGATGCCTCTGTGATTCGTTACAGCTGTTTCCAATTTTGTGTCTGGGTATCTGAAAGAATTAAAAAATAATTAAAGATTATTTAGTTGCTTTTTAAATAGTTTAGATTAATGAATAGAGGATTTTTAATTTTTTTTTTCAATTTTTGTGTGATCGACATAATTGGTTCAAATTAAAGAACACGTATGTCTAACTTATGCGGTCCAATTATACGTTAAAATCTCGCTAATCCGGACAATTTAGTTTATTCGTCTGCATATATGTTTTTGTATTTACAAGATATAACCAATGTGTATTGTATTAAAATATCGTTGTTAACATTGTCAGCCAATTTATTGGCTGGTAATATTATTTGTTGCCAGACACGATTAAGTAAATCGTGTCTGACAACAAAAAAAGTCATCAAGTATACATTATCAGGCTATTTCTTATAGTTTTTAATAACCATTAACCGCTTTGAGTCACGCTTCCCATTTTCTTATCAATAACTTTTATATATTACACAAAATAAAAATGAGGCAAATAAATTGCACCACAAACTATGCATGACGACTAAAACCATTCAAACTCATCTGAGTCCTGCTGGCTCCACTCGCATGCCACTGTCATAAAAATAAAATGTTTACTACGTATAATAGACAACACCCGTTGTCTTAAGATGCTGTTTATTCGATCGAATAATTTCCCTATACGAATACTAATCACAATCGTATGCATTTGACACAAATTCAATAAGCGTTTCCGTTTCAAGAGACAAATTCCGATGCATTTTACACGCAAACAATAGTTATACAAAAATTTCAATTTGGTAGATGTGCAATCGCGATGGTTAAACAAAAAAGACAGCGTCACCACCATTCAAATAGGCCAAATAGAAAAAATAGCAATTTCGTTCAAAATCAAATCATTGTGAAAACTCACTGAATCGGATATAACGGTAAACAAAACACGACTATTGATTTCATATCGGTTACCATGGAGTGCATTCGTGAAAGATACTAGTCGATGGTTCTATATGATAGTCAAAAAGTGGGTGGTATAGCCAGCATGTGTCTGACAAACAAAAAAAAACAATCTACCGACGATCACCCCAAACCGCCTATCTGACTGTCTCGATTGCTGGCTGCCTGCCTGGCATGCGGCTTACATATTTGTACTACTTAACTATATGAAAAGTTAGAACTATTCCGAGTAAAGTTACGCTTCAATGGACACATGTTGCCCCATACTTCGTTTCTCGTGTATGAGCAGAGCTGTTATTCGCCGGCACCAGTCTGATTGAAGTTTATGAAGTTTGTTTGGGTAGTTTAGTTGATGTTGTCGTTGTTTGTGTTTGTGTTGGCATTTTACACAGAGTTTATTTACCTATGGTCGCAAAAATGTTACAACTTAAATGCCCATTAAACTGTTGTAAACTAACATTGCATGTTTACCATGGTTCTTTCGCCACCTCTCCCGCCCATTTGCCACTTCCTTGGAGTTTTGTTGAAGTAGGACTAGAATAAAATTATAACCCCATTATTAGAACTAAATATTATTATATTACTTTGGCCAAAATGCAAGTATAAGGGTTATGTCAGAGAAAAATATACATACATACATTTATTAAATCGATTTACGCATTCCATAAGATACATACACAGACATGAGTATTTTTTTGATATGTGTAATGTCCTTTAAGTAATTTCGAATTTGACTACAAAATACATTCACAGATTTTTTGAATGTCTGTATTACGCAAATACGCATTGTCAATGTTGACAATTTTCAAATTTGTATACGCATATTTCTCAATTTCTTAATGGGGGCTAAACAAATCAATGCTTTCAAGTAGTCATTGCTTTTCTGAATTTGTATTTGCCACGCAGTATAGTGTCCTTCAAATCAACCTCGTTAATTTCCCTAATCTCCTTTACAAATCAACGTTTCCTACGAAACTCTACCCGAATATTTTCGCATGGGAATTTTTCAAAGGATGCTGTGTGGCTACAATGAAATTAGCCTAGTGTCGCATTTCGTGTCAACATGTCCAAACTAATACATACACAGCGTTGTGTGCATTTTCACAGATGGCCCAATGCGTTGGCAGGAATTATTGGCAATAAGATTTGATCTGAACGACAAAACGAAGGACCAGCAGCCAACACACTGCGTGACTTCACTCGTACACAGCAAACATATCCGAAGCTATCGTCTGGGTATTCCCTAGCAGATAATATGTATCGAGGGACTTATTCAGATGTGATGATACAATTAAACAAACCTAATGAATGTTTTTGTGTGTGTCTGTGATTGTGCGTGTTTGACGGCAGCTATGCTAGACATAGAGGAATTATACGATTGTCTGTCCAAACAAAGTGTCAAATCTGACATACTTTCCAATTGGTGTTCGTAATAGGCTGTGGTATATGGAGAATTATGACTGCCTATTATTGTTACAGCTTCAAGTCGGTACGTATCCGGGAGCCTGGATACAACATTTCCAGAAATGGAACATACAATAATGGTTGCGACATCATCATATCCTTGTTAACAGAAGCATCAAAGCATAACGGCCTAACATTGATTGGGGCCGCTCACATATCTTCTAAATTAAAGAATGATTGTTAATCTGGTGTGGATGGATGTGTGTGAGTGTTTGTTTGTTGGTAGATTCTAGTTGTTAGGGTCAAAGATCCCAAACATTGTTAGTTTCATGGTTGAATTCCTGAGTTTATTGGCTAAATTTCTCACCCAAAAAGCACAGACACAAATTCATTGTATGTTTTCAGATATACATATACACGTAAGTGTGTTAGAATATAGATGTTTGTAAAATTGTTACACTCATGCAAAATTGATTGTAATTGTGGGTGGTATTACAGTGGTAGATAAATCATCAAATCAATCCATGTATATACAAATAACAAATAATATTTATCAAAAAATTTCAACAGACGAATGCTGCTCATGTTTAGCTTACATATTCTAAAGATATGAATAATAACTGTCTTAAGGGGACCCCCCCCATTATCGGTGTCAAAAATTTTTTTGATTTAATTCGAATCTACTCTAATTCTAGAATGTCTCTACAAAATTTCAAGTGAAAATCTCAAGAACTCTTAAAGATATAGCCGATTTATTGTGTTAGCATCAAGTGACGGCTAAAGGGCTTCTCAAACTTTAAACGCGTTTTTCTCAAAACGAATGGCGGGCACGATAACTCAAAAACTAATAATCCAATCGGTTTCAAATTTTGACACGTTTCTCTGGGAGTGTGTAGCTCTCGTATGAACTAGGATAAAGCTAATCGGTGAAGATCTTCCTTATTTTTTAACTTAGTTTGTGGTAAAAAATAGGCGATTTTCCATAAAAAATTTTTCAAAGTTCCGCCATTTTGTTAATTGTTGTGCGAAGTCAATAATCCTAGTTCATACGAGAGCCAGACATGTCCTCTTTCTAAAACAGTTGGAATTTTCGGATTCCGATGTTCCAGTGAGGAGTTATCATGCCCGCCATCGAAAATATGGACTTTTCTTTGAACCCAAAAAACAACAACAAATTTTGGTAAATTATTTTTCTTCCTTTTTAAATCTTCAAATACATATGTGCCAAGTTACAAACCTTAACAAGCATTGGTATTCATTTACCAGCCCATTTCAAATCTCAAAAATAAAAAAATCGAGAATGGGGGGGGGGGGGGGGGGGGGTTCCCTTAATGAAATATATTGTTTTTCTAATTTGTGTGAATTAAAAAAAAACTAATACATGTATGAAACTCCCGCGATCGGAATATAATTGCAATAGTAAAATATTGGGAGATAATGTCTTTAAATAGAACCACCACTCCATCCCTTTTTCCTTTTGTGTTTCTCCTTTGTGAATCTTGCATAAAAAAATATGACAAATTATACTAAAACTACATAAAGCCTAGCATTGCTAGATTTATGGTCTGTACTACTAGATTTTAATATTTTCTTCGATATGATAAAGGAAAAATCGTTATCGTAGTAAAAAGAAGTAGATTCTTGCAGTACGGGAGCAGACCATTAGTCAAGGCCAGTCCCAAAAATAAGTTGTAATCATCGATATATTATTTATTTGCCTTACATAAATTATCGATCATCGTTTTCGCCTTTAGCTTGACCCAAAATTTGATTTTAGGTCAATATAGGAATCCAAGCATTGAATTTTCTCGCCAAATTTATTCGCATCGAAGACTATGCTTGAATGATTTTTATCAAAATTCTTTTTCCGCACCCCTACTTAAGGATATTACTAAGGCTTGGCCGCCAGGTCACACACGCATACAAGTGACCTTATTTCCACCCTTTTGCCTGAAAATGGAAATGTTATCGATAGTAAGCAAAGATAATCCAAATAAAGCCATTGTGAAAAGAATTTGGAAAATAATAAAAGCAAACAAGACAAAAACTAAATTCCATTTATAGTATTTATTTGGTTGATTGTTGGTATTGTTTCGGCATTGTCTTCTAGTTTACCGTGACACAGCAGAACCGACCATTTTAATATTTCCATTTTCGTTGATGGAAATGAAATCCTTTCTTTGAATTTGCATAAAAATATTTGGGTTTCCTTAAAATCCAATATCATTAGGTTTGGTGAGGTGGGTGAAGACGAAACCGTTGCGGAAACGGAGAAACGTCAATTATAATAATTTAAAATCTTTGTAAGGGGGTGACAACAACTGCGATTCAAATGACGAATGCAGAATCGCAGGAAATCTGTTGGCGTAGACGGACAAACAAACGGACGGACGGACAGATGATTCAGATTCAGTTTTGAAATATTTGCATAGTTGACGCTGTGGAATGCGTTCGAAATAATTTGCATTTGAATTGAAGCATTCTTGTCTCTTCTTTGTTTATTAATGATTGAAGCTTCCATGGCCAAATGGCCGCCAGCAAGTTGAACGAATTGAGTTTGAAAATGCCCAACAAAGCCGTTCAAATTTCCTATTTGAATCAATTTTTGTACATCTGCTCAATTCGTTTCTTGAGCCCGGCAGCAATGTGGAATACAATTAAAGTTGTCACTTGATGGCAACAAAGGGTTCACTGGTTGATATTTTATAGTCACTTAAAAAAGTAGATATATAAAAACGTTATTTCCAAGTTGTCAGGACCAGCGTGGGGTGTACGAATGAATATTTGATTTAAGAGGAAATTGATGATTTTGGACTATTGTAAAACCACACTCTTTAAACTATTTATTTAAACACTGTGATGCGAAAAGACGTTGAAGAGTTTTCTCCATATTACTTTAAGTAATCATTTGTATAAAAAAATACTTCTACTACTTAGCGTGTTTTAAAAACTCTACGTACATGTTAGTTGTGTTTGATTAATAATGTGTTGATTTAGGGCCATTTTTAATCTAACACAAGTTACAACTTCAACCATATATCATTGGGCAAAACATTAAATTAAACAAAATATAAAATGCCCTTATTTATTTTTCCTTAGCCGAATGAAAAAAAGCAATTTGGAAAATTTGAGGCAAAATAAACTTTTTTAATTTCCATTTTAAATGAAAGAGCCTGGCATTTATTAGCAAAAAATGGTCACAGCTGCAAATGTTGATCATTCTTTTTAAGCCTAATGAAACAATGTTTAGTCACAAATAATTTAATTTCAGTTTGTTTTGGGAAATAAAACACCCAATATCAAACGAGAAGAAAATTGTAGATGTCTCTATAAATTTAATGTCAACATTTAAAATTTAGCTAATGTACATTTACTAAAACTGTTCATTTCTGTACTTTTCCAACGAATAAATAGTTGTTTTTAAAAACAACAATCTGGGATTTAGATTTAAAATTCATTTCTGATTACTTTGTGAGCCTATAACCACGAGGTCAAAAGTCAACACATCCAAACGGGGTTGTAAGAAGGGTCCTTTGTTTTTCCTTTGACTAACTTCCTGTCATATATTGTTTGACATAATAGTATGAAATTTGTAGATCTGATTAATGGGTACAACATTGCTGAAGAGAAAAATAAAAATTTCGAGTAGTTCATGTGATAAACAGAACGTATTATTTGAAAATCCGCCTAAACCAGGTCAAAACAAAAACCTAAGCCAATATTTCAAAACAAAACTATGTGTTTTTCTTCTTTATCACAAGCTTTTGTCGAGATTTTGTCGATGCCGATTGTTTCAAGACTTTCAAGTTGAACAATGTGTCACAGTGTTATACGTCTACGTTTAAGTGAGACATCCATGATACTTTGGGCCTATCATTGGGTACTTAGAAATCTATGCTCAAAAATTACCAATATACACCAAGTGGTTATAATAATGGGGGGAAGTGTTCTATCTTAAATTACATGACTGTTTTGGAGCAATTTCTTCACATGGTCTAAAAGCTTTCCTCGTGTTGGATGGTAAGATACTGAAAAATTTGATAAAATTCCTACCTACTGTAAAATACTCCAGGGAAATACATTCTAGTTGCACTTGAATCATATATAAAAGTCTTTCACTACAATAACACTTATCTATATTTCTTAAATTTGACTGAAATACAAAATAAATTACTTTTTTGTAAGGATCTTCTTAAAAAAGTTTTCATTATACCTATATCTTTTTCAATCATTGTGTTAATCTTATTGAAATTTCCAAACTTGATATTATATTACGTTCTTTATTTATTATATATTTTCCACATCTAATCCAGGCTATCCATCTAGTTATGATTACATAATATATTTGCCTCCTCCTCCTCGCAAGGCCATGAATTGACACTGTCTGTCACAATAGGTGTTAATGAGCGTGTGGATGTTTAGGGGCTGTCCTTGTTTTTCTATTGTGAAGTATTAATTAAAAGAGAAAATTAATTAGACTTACTTTGTATGCGGATTAATGTCCTTTCTCCAATGATACATAAACACCTACACACACACTCCTATGAATCTGGTGTGTTGGTAATCAATAGGTTTGTATCTATGTGTGGATGGGTGTGTGTGACGTTGTCTGTGATAGGGATTAATTGTTAACAAACAATTTCCAACCGAAAAACTTCAAGAGTGTAAACAACATATAAACTGGTATCAACATCAGGACCACTAACACGTAATACAACCAACTTTCGGTTATAACGTCCGTCATAACTGTAACGAGAACAAAACAGAGAAGAGTACAAACATAAGCAACGGAAACGGAAATTGCAGGTGAGCAACTTGTTGTAAAGAGATTTTCGGATCTGCAACTTTGTAACTTCAAATGCGGCAAATGAGTGTTTTATACAAATTTTCAGATTAGGATTAAAAACTTCTAATACCCCTTTATTGTTGCCTGTTGGCATCTAGCAGTGTGCCAACCAGCCAACCAACCCATCTGCTACATACCCACCCATACTTACATGGCTAAATAAAAAGAGCTAGGACACATACAACGGGAATATGGGGGAAGAAGTAGCCTGTTACCATGTAACTGAACGAATGGCCACCAGCATATTCATAATACAAATATTCATACGGAGTCAAACACAAGACTTTCATGAGTGCACCAACTCTGATTTTAATTGAGAAGTAGAAGAAGAATATGAAAAAATAACACAACTTGTTCCCTTGCTAAATTGCCAAAATGTGAAAGCAATTAGTGAGAACCTTTTTTGTACAAATTCAATCCTTCTCAAGGGGGTCTCTCATCTGTATACACTTACGTGGTTATATGCACACCGAGGAACATGTTGTACTAGGACTAATGCTGGCACATCAGAGTGTGCTGTGTGTACAGCTGGCCATGTTGTAGTCGTTGGCACCCACATTAGCACGAAACGGCTGTAATTATGTAAATAGTCACTAGGAGGCCTTTTTTAATAAGATCGACTAATTAGTGCTATGTCTGTTGGAGTATGCGAGTTGACCACATGTCAACAAATTCGGGTATGTATTTATTTCGATTAAATATTTTTCCATAGAATCAAAATAAAATTTAATAAATGTAAATAATACGAACTATGAAATTGTTTCCCAATACAAATAGGAATATTCAATTTAATTTATAAATTCATTTAACGTCTTGTGTAATTTTTATACTTTACTACTTTGTTTGAAAATCCTAACCACACATAAAATCATTTACAGCAAAAATATAAAAAATAGGAGAAGCAAAAAACTGTTTTGTAAAATCATGTGAAATGTGCCCGGCAGGGTGATATTGCATATGACGAATAATAGACTATCATTTTTTTAAAAATTGGCAACAATTTGTGAATTATTCATTCAAAAAAAATAATTTTTTGTTAGTTACGCCTTTTTGCCCACGATATATATATATATATATATATATATATACACTGTATATATGTATATATAAATGTCTACTGTTATATTTATACCCAGTTATACCGTATTATACATTTTTTAATATTTATTGGCAAAAAAGCGTCTACGGTTTTTTTTTTATAATTGACAACTTATGTGGTTAATGGTTACATCCTTTGTTGTCGACATAGAACATTTTTTGATAAAGGCCTATCGCTGTACCCTTCGAATCCCCTTCATTTGAACGCTGCACAAGTCACACTTAAAACTCAGTCACTGAATGAACCCATATATAGAGTTGTTCCAACATGGTGGCACTTTTGTCAGTGAAAGAATCTGTGGGTTTGTGTTGCAGCAACACTTGTAATTTAACACAATTTGTCGGCTCGTCTGTGAACTGCAGAGCCAAAGCGTGGGTAAGTGTGTTTGTTTAAAAACGACTTTGAACCGAACGGCTGGTAATCAGTGCCTTTGCCAGAGTGCAGTCCCCATACCTTTTGTTGGAGAAATAGCAATTGTCTTTGTGCTATCACCAGCACTAGAGCATCAGCATTTTGGCCAAAAGCAAGACAACAACAAAAAAACTATTTTCCACTTTGTCTTACGGAAGAAATGTTTAATTAGAGAGCTCACAAGTAATTGCAGTGATAACCGCATCAGTGGCCTTTGAGGTTGATTTTTGTTGTTTCGGCCATCGTTTCCATAAAATCTGCCATGGGTAACCTGTGGGCTAAGCTACAACAGATGTTCATTTGGGTTTGGTTGTTGAGCAACATGAGCAGAAGGGCTTAATCGGTCGATGTAAAAGCAATTCAAAAAGTTTACTTTTTTGCGCATAGCGGCAGCTAACGTTATGTTTGATTGCATTGAAAAAAACTTTTGAAATTAGTAAAGAATTACCATTTTTGGGTGTTGTTGTAAAAGTTTAATTTCTTTTTATAATTGAATGGGAAATTCAATTCAAAGTGTTGAATATTTACTTGTAAATGCAACAAACTTTCGGAACTAGTTTTAAAAATACAAAAAAGAATAACTTTTCACATTTACCCGCAATACCAACCAAGGTGTACGCACATGTTGACAATTTTGTGCAATAACTTATCACTGAGAACATAAACATCATACTTCTCTATTGTGGAGGAAAACCATTAATGGTCAACAAATTTATTTATATATATATATATATATATGACATTGATGCCATGATAATAACATCAAACTGTTGCCCCGTATTAAAATGTATCAATAGAACAAGTTTTTCTTGAATTACATAAATATAATGTAACTACTTCTGTTCTTTTTTTTGTGTAATTTATTAAAACAAGTGTTGTAAAATAATATAAAAATAAAGATAACTTAATGGTCGTTGTTCAAACAAATGTGTTTTCAATGTGACAAAAAGTCGCTAACAAGTGATTTCAACACTTTTTTCATTTCTAAAAACTAGACAAACTACAATAGTATGGCATACTTGATGTACTTAATATTAATTCCTGTAATAAATACTTTCCACAGGAACAGAAACACATACAATTTTAAACAAGAAAATTCGAATGGTTCTTGAAAATTATTTTCTTAGAATGTGACAACAAAGAAACAACTTGGGTGCTGAACGATTCACAACAGTTGGTTTATTTGTTTCTTCATTCAGTGTTTCATTTAATTAAAACCAGCAAGAATACTTAATGTTCAGAACAACAACAATACCCAGATGTCGCACTACTGATATCAACACAAACCAAAACTCTTTAATTAAAGGAACCACCATGCCTGTTATTTTCCTAAGTTTTTTTATGTCACACCTGACAATCTCTATGGCTGTGGGAAACGATACCGAGTAGTATAACATACAACATTTGCATAGAAAGAACAAATTAAATACACGCAAAAAAAATAATAAAAACAAAGCTAAAAATTAACATTTCTATTGGAATGTTAAACGCAATTAATGACAATGAAAGTGAGATCTGACAAAACGATTGAAATGAAAATGAGGAGGATGGATTCTGAATTGATAAACATTGCCAACAAAACATTTAATTTCTAGCTATGCGAACATCTGACAAAAGGTAATTTATGATAAATAATTGCAAATGTTATGCTTGTTGAACAAGTTCAAAGTAAATTAATTGGATAAAATAAAGTCTGGGATGTTCTAAAATAGTTTTGTAATCCTTTAAAAATGTCCAAATGAGGTCTAATTCCTTATTATGTTCTCGTGTTACTGAATAAATATTTTTGTGTGACTGAATAAATAAAACAATGATCATCGGTAGATTCCATGCATAAAAAATATTCTGTAACTAAAAACTTAAGATATACTGTTTTTAATGTCTTAAATTACAAGAGTATAAACATTTATTCACTTTAAAATATAAAATATAGTGGATTTTGAATTATAGCAATTTTTTTCCTCTATGGAGGAAAGCCAGCGTTAAGCGGCTTCATCAGGCATATTGGGCTAGAGGCTTTGGAGAAGTAAATTCATCTGTTTCAAAGTTCGACAATTGCCATCACACTAGAAACTGTCCCTTTCGGGCATCGTTAATGAACGACTTCCAGTAAAGACTTCATAATGGTTTCTTGAACATTTTAAAACAAAAATGCGATTAAATAAAATGCATTTTCGTTTATTGATTCAATGATGCCAATGTAGAATGCAAACTGCCGGAAATCCACAAAAAATGCAATGGCCAAATTCGACTTGAAGCAACTGATTTAACTCGAAAATCAGCATTGAGTAATTTGTCCTTGTAAGGTGGTAATAACAACAAAATCTATTCTCACAATTCACTCCTTTTACTGGACATTCGGGCAATCGTGCAATATCCAGTAATAATTTATACAAATTACTAAGTCAACCAAAATTCTTAATTTCTGGTAAATTTGAAATTTTTAGGTTTTCTAAATCAAGAATATACAGTTCCTATAAAGTTCAGTTTATTACCAATATCACTTTATAAAATACATGTATGAAATGTTTCGAGTCCCACTGTTATGTCTTTTGTTTTGTGGTTATGGAATTCAATACGTATTTAATAATGGCATGCTTTCGGACATAAGACAAATATTTGAAAGAAAAGTTTGATGTATAAAAGCAAACTGTTGTCAACGCCATTAGCATTTTCAAATCTCTTTTGAATAATTATTTGACATTTCTTATTCATTAACTTTGGAGTTTTGACAACGAGCCCTCAATGTATGGATATATGACACATTTCAACATATTACATGTTACAAATCAAGGCCTATATAAGGTCGGCCAGTAAGCGAATTCATAAAGAAAACTTAAGTTTAACGTCAAATATTTTTGCCGAGGCGAAAACAAATTGTTTCGCCTTTAAATAAAAAATACAACCAAAACACAACTCAATTTATAGTTTTGTAAGATAATTGGCCTTTAAAATGAAATAGTCCAAATGTGTTTCACAAAGACGATGTAAATTAAAATTGAATTGAATGTTCACAAAATATTAATATTTTCGTTTTGACGTCTATCATAATTTTGTACGTATGTATAGGTTTCAAAATATGATTTGACAGCAAACTTTATACTCAGATGTGCTTACTGGCCGACCTTATATAGGCCTTGTTACAAATGAAAACATATACCTACATACATACATAAATCTACACATTAGAGTGGGTTCTTGAAAAATACGCACTTTGAGAGATAAATAAACAAATGGCATTTCCTTTATGTTCATAAATGTGGTTTATATGTTACAAATTCAATAAAATGCTGAACTTCGGCTCTACAATAAATATACAAACTTCAGACAATGTTTACGATTTACTTGCTTAAAATATAGTATGTATGTAGAAAATCAATATCACAATTC